AGAGTTTTGTCGGAACCTCTTGATTTTTTTTTTATTCTGTACATACGTTTATATTTTTTGTCATATCTATAGTTAAACTTTTTCCTGGTAATTTAAAGCGGGTTTATCACATATGCTGTAGATTTCTGTTCCTTTGGGAATACTTTCCATAGCAATAAATAGAGCATTATCATTTACAAGCTTTCCCAGTGGTTTTTAATCTTGGTCCTGGTGGTTTACCCCCACCCCCACCCCACTCCGTCCTTTATCTAGTAGTAAGCAAACAAGGACAGTGAGTCTACTGGAAAGACCAGCTGTTGTAGCAGAGGCAAGCCATTCTTCCTAACTAGCTCTGTTAATACTTTCTTTGTAGTATGTCTCTTTTGAGTCAGCAACCTTTCCTCTCCTTGGTCCTTACCTGCCTTAAGGGGCAAGATGAACAACGGGAAGGCCTCCTCACATCTCTGCAGAATCAAGTTAATCAGGTAAAATGCAGTCCGATCCTAAGCCAGGCCACCCTCTTTCTGATGGTTTTCGTCATTTTCCTTTCAAACATGAGATTAGACGAATGTGTCTATCATTGAGATGTTAGGAAACACAATCCATGTCCAGTTCTGTCTAGCATCATGGGCACCATAGGGCCAAGGACTTTAATATTAATTATGAATTGACAGATTTATAAAGACTATAAAAATAAGTTGTTGCATATTGCTTATCAGCTACCTTGCTGATAAGTGTCATACCTGCCTGGAAACCAGAGGAGCAGATTAAAATTAGAAAGCATGGAGTCAAGGAAAGTTGTTAGACTGGTTGTGTGAGATGGATTATCCCGACATGAAACCAGGCGAGACCCTCCCTGTGGTGTCAAATAAAATTTGATGACATGTGCAAGGGCACTAGGCTTACTCCATTTTCTTTGTCATCGCACCCAATGCATTTGACAGGTCTTTTGTCTGTGTAGGTTCCAGAGTAAGCCATTTAAATATAAAGCACTCATGGTTCTCATCATCCCTACACTACAAACTCCAGAGCTGGACTAACAGAAGCCTGCCTGTCTGCCCGTGCATTTGCTGTCTCTTCTGCCCAGTTTCCCTTTGTCGCAAGCCTCACTGGGCTGGCCCACCTTCTGCTTTAGGTGCACCTGAGTACTTCCTTCTTCTGGTGGCTGGGTCCCCCCAGCTGTTAGGCTGACCTGCTCCCTTCCTCTCCGCGGGTCTTTGTTACCTTGCCTTCTTAGTAAGGCTGTGGTCAGCCTCTGTAATATTATGTTACAGTATATATTATATATAATATATGATTATGTAAGATTCTTTCCTGCTATCATTCTCTGTCCCTTTGCCCTGATTGTAGTCCTATCTGTTTCACGTTTTCTTCCTCTCTCTCTCTCTTTTTTTTTTCTTTAGTGTTGGGAATTGAACCTAGGACTTTATGCATGCATGATAAATTTTCTGCCACGGAGTCCTTACGCTAGTCCTTTTTTTAGCTTGTTGTTTGGAGATAAAATCTTGCCCAGTTGGCACTCCTCTCTCTCAGTAGCCCAAGTGAACCTGGCACTTCCAATTTTTCAGTTTCCTCTTCCTTGCCAGCAAGGATAACAGGGGAGTTAGAGCAGGCTGAGCTCTTAGTCCTTTTATGTCATCTCTGGGGTGTGTGTGTGTGTGTGTGTGTGTGTGTGTGTGTGTGTGTGTGTGTG